GAAAGGTGGTGAGGAGCTTGATAAAGAAGAAAAGTGATTTTTATTTGGGGAGTCTAAACAAACGGCTCCTACTCTATTTGGACAAGGTTGTTTCCCGACTGCAATAGAGGTGGACCTTGAGGCAGAGTGAACTCGAGCAGTCGGGGAGGCTTCTTGGGACACACAGCTGCTTTGTGATTAGGATCAGCACAATAGAGGTAAAGATTATGAGATATTCGACATTGCTTCTCAGCAGGACTCAACTTCCCTCTGATGAGTTGGGGAGTACCAGAAATATCCATCGGGACTGGAGTAGTAGGTTCAGGAGTATGCCCCGAAGACTCAAGTTGGGATTCCTGAGTCTGGGACGGGAAAACGGCGGTGCGGCGACTTTCCTGATGACGTTCAAAGAGATGATTGTCGCATTGAAAAGCTTTGTTGATGGCGTCCGATAGGTCCATGGGATCCTCCATGGTGAGTAATAAATCCTTGACACTGTTGTTGAGGCTGAAACGAAATTGATCAATCAGGGCCCGCTCATCCCACTAAGTGTCCAAAGCAAGGAGTTGGAACTTTGCAGCATAGATCGAGGCAGGACGAGACCCCTGAGAGAGACGTCTCATCTTTGTTGTGGCAGCTCGAGCCCGATCCGTCTCGCCAAAACATGCTTCGAGCTTCTCTTTGAATAACTGAAGATCCATCAACTCCGGAACCACGACCCCTTTCATATTCTTCTCCAAGAGAGGAGAAAACCATGACAAAGTTGCACCTTCGAGCAATGTCCCGATCGCGCCGATTTGAGACTCAGGAGTGGGGTACTGCCGATGTTAAAGTGCAAAGATCAGCTCCATTTGGTTCAGGAATCCGCAAAGCTCCAAATGCTTGCCTAAAAATTTCGCCAAGAAACTCACCTTTGGTTTAGGAACTTTGCTTGATCCTTGAGCCGAAAGTGAAGAAAGCTCCTGCTACATGCGAAGAAGGGTCACCTTTAGCTCGGTATTCTCAGACTGGATTTTTGCAAGGACTTTGGCAAAGAAATCAGGATGGCTTGGAGACTCCATCGGCAAAGAAGAATGAAAAGGGGGAAAAAGGCAAAGGCAGTCAAACAATCAAAACGAGCTAAAACAAAAACGAAAAGACCACAATCTGAATCAAACTGTCAAGACCCCCAACAAGATCAAGACTGGAAATGCAGAAGACAAAGAGAAAAACTAGTGGAAACGAAGAAAAAACCTTAAACTGGCGTTGATTCAAATTGTGGAGAAATGGAACAACGTTAACCTATATATACTATAGGTTGATGAAGCTCCACCACTCTTGGATCAAGGACGGCTTAAATATAGTTGAGGTTGAGGAGGTGCCATATCATCATCAGGAATGTGGCTCAAGACTCAGGAATCGTATAGGAAATTAGAAAGTCAGGAATAGGGAAGTATCTCGAGAGTCAAGAATGTGGCAAGAATTGGGGGATTCCTAACAGTGGGATGTTTACTTGCCACAAGAAATTTGAGTCATTATCCAAGAAAAATTATATGAGACTTATATTACTACACAAGATCTTCCCTCAACTTCACCTTTGGAGACCATTCCTAAAAGTTTGAAGATACTAGTGGCCCTATGGGTTTATGCCAAGCTAGAGGCATTAAATAGAGTTTTTATTTATGGAGAACTAGATCATTACTATATAAAGATTTTGCTTTTGATCAATCATTTTTTGGATATGCATGATCAATGGTAGAAGCAAATAGAGGATCCTTTGATACTATTTTAGAACATCTCTATATTTGAATCAATCATGTGTTACCTATTTAGAATGTTACTAGTAAGGACATCAAGGAACACTAAGGTTAGTACATCTATAAGAAAGAAAAGGCTAGATAATATTATGTACCTGATAGAAGAAGAATATTCAGTATTTTTAGTAGAAGTGAAATGGTTACAAGAAGTTATGTGGCATATAAGGAGTGGCAATCAAAACCTCAAAAAGAGTTGCAAGACAAGGTGGTGTGGATATTTGATAGGCTGCCATATATCCTATCATATGTGTCTGAAGGTTTTTCTTTTGGCTCTATGTCTTGACAAAGGGTCCTTCAAACTAGGGAAAACAATCTGTACTCAACTTGCACACTTGAAGTTAAACATATTGACTAACCTTGCACCTAATTTGATATGCCTCTTCAACATTTCCTGGATCATACTAGTGTTGGGAGAGCTATAAAAGAAAAATTTTGTGGAGTCGTACATATATGTTCGTGACCTTAAGGGAAAGGTTGTAGAACTTGATGGCTTTAAATCAATTAAGTCCAAGGAGGCTCATGCTATTAACTTGTTAACATCTTTGCTTTGATAAGATCTAGAATATGTTAAGGAAGTTTACACTTTAACCAAATTGGAGATAGTTTTTATGACTAGGCTAACACCAATTGCACTGACCGAACACTAGCATCATGAAATAATCTAGAGTTTCAACATAAAAAGGTTAATTGGGTATGTAAAGGGAATGGTTATCTCTTTTATCCTTGGTTAAGTTATATGAGGGAGTTGTAAACTGAGGAGGAGCATATTAGTGCGTTAATTGATATAATCATACAAAATGAGTTGATATCATATATGTAGACTTTCTTTGCTTATTTGGATGACCAAGAAAAATGTAAAGTAGTTTACATGACAAGTACTCATCTTTAACATTATGAATTTATTGTTAAGAGAAAAGAAAATGACAAAAACTATTGAGGAAAAAAATAAAAAAATAAAAATGATATCATTTTAACACTTTGAATATAAAGTTAATAGAAATTTTAGTTTTAGAAAAGTTAAATAAAAGTCAAATCTCAAACTAATCTAGGAATATAATGTAGGTATACATTAAATGCCTATAAATATGTCTTGAGTTTAAATTTTATGAATAAAAGTTTGACATTATTATTTATAAAACTTTAATAAATATACAAAGATGACAAATGTATCATCCTCTTTTCTCATTGCCTTTAATTATAAGTTTTGAATGGCAATTTAAATATTGTATAAATGTGGATATCATCAATTAAATTCTTTAAAAGTATGAGTAAAATGAGAATTAAACTTTTAAGTATGATGATTAAAAAAATATCTAAAACAAGTTCACTTAGTTACTCTTTTATCAATTATCTTTCAGTAGCAAGAAATGTGTTATTTTAGAAAAATGGTCAACCACAACAAAATTATCTTAAATCTTTAAGAAAGTAAAAGATTAGTAAGAAAATCTATAAATATAAATTTCAAAATCTTGAAGCAATAGGAATTAATTAAAGAAGACAAAATAAAGTAATTAAAAAAAACTAGATGAAGAATTAAAGAATTTTTATCTACTAAAATGTATTACATGAATGTATTTGAAACTACTAAAATAGTTAATCTAAGTGTTTTGCTAAGGCTAGGATTTTTATGATAAACTTTGATAACATTCAATTACACTTCACTATATAGTACATATAGTGAGTATATCTTTACTCCAAAACTAAAGAAATCAATAATTACAATGTTGAATTGAAGTAATACATAAAGAAATGGATTCACAAATTTATTGAGTAATTTGATCAATGGTATAAATTATTCAATTAATAACTTGAGAGAGTGATAAAAAATTTGATGTACTTCAAAACCTAGAAAACCCTTTAAAAAATAGAAAACTAAATAAAAAGGGTATTTTATGATAAGCTGTATAAAAAATTTGGAGAAATATCGAATACAATTTTAATAGAAATTCATAATGCAAAATAAATACCAGATATTATTGGTAGGGTTGTATTAGAAATGATACATAACCTAAAAACTATAAAAAAAATATTTTTTAATTTTGCAAAAGGATTATGTTTTTAAAGTTGTTATAAAACAAGATAAACATGACAATTATGCTCTCTTAAATCTCAATATGTAACATGAAAGGAAAACCTTTCCAATTAAAGAATGTAATTAACTTAAAATTTAAAAAAGCTTTAGACTTGTCCTACAGGGATGAACTTTCCAGCAAAACATCTTTTTACTATTTAGATATTTTGCTTCAGTTGTTCAGAAATTTGCTGCATAATAAACTTGTCCCAACGTATCTTGCATAATCTTCCGCTTTGGATGATCCATCTCAAATAAGATGGGACAAACTCACTAATATGAAAGTTGAGCACCATATGTAGGTGAATGCTCTTTCTTGCAGATAAACCACTTGCAGTGTTAAAACCATACGTAATCACATTTCCAGCACTGCCAAGCAGAAAAACAACCGTTCAAACATCAACCTGACGCTGTGAATCAATTCAGAGTTTCATGAGATTTAATCTCGTGTTTTCCTGCACGAATGGCATTTTGTGCAGCGATTAAAAAGTCTTCCACTAGACTGGGAGTTTCCAAGGTACCGTGGAGTGCAGAGGTCGGTTTCTTGGAAGTAGAACCTTCCCAGAAGCCTGCTTGCTGGTGGATGAAATTGGAGCGCTTTGGTGAGGCTGGTAAGCTTCGCAAAGAGAAAATCCATCAAAAAGAAAAGAAAAAAGATGAGAAGGGAGGTAAAACTTACATGTGTGAGAAACAACATGCCAGATTTGAAGGAGTCATGCACCTGACAATGGGTCAGACCATATCCCGGGGTGCTTGGACATCTACACGAGCCAGAAATCAAAATGTCATCATTCCAGTAGAAAAGAGACAAGAAAGAAAGAAAACAAATCCACGTACCCCAATCCAGAGGTAGAGACTGCAGTAGCTTCGGCAATGAGCAATCCCCCTCGATACACCGCAGCTTGCGGCTGTGGCAGGTAATTATACGATCGACGTCTTGTAAGTGGCACGACTCTGAAAAAAAACGAAGAAAAGAGTTCGAATGAACGAATGAAAAGAATATGGTGCTTTGTACCTGTGATTGAGATGGATATCGCCCAGCTGAGAGGATCTGTGAAGACGATTGAATCCACACAAATTTCAAGGGCATTGCACAGCAATTTATAGCCTTCGGCATGAAGATTGTAGATAAAAGCAAAGTCTGCAAGTGATCGTTTAGAAACTTCCGAGGCCCCGTTATTTGACTTTGGATTCTGAAAAATAGGTCCGCAATGTGGACAACTTCTAAAGATGTTCTTCCTGGCAATCAAGATGAAGAACATAATAGCTTAGCTATTAGGAAGCTCAACATTGTCTAAGAGACGAACACTACCAAACCACGCAGCAATTGCAAACACTGATGGGCTCGCCACTTTATCGACACTCTGCAGTGTTTCTTGGTCGACAATCTAAACACAAAAGCGTTAGAGAACTAAGTAGCCGAGCAAATAAATCTTACGCTTGCATAATCCACTCTTCCACCGGCATGGCTGATGGCACTCACTGCCTGTTCTATGAGAACACTGGAATCCGTCTCGCCGGATCTCACGAGCTCCTCAGCCCTCTTGAGCGAATGAAAGATCGCCAAAGCCTGAGCCAAAGAAAGAGACTGGAACTCAGGAGACAAATAACTAGAAATGAAACAAATGTAGGACTTACATTTTTTCTTTCGGTGGCAGTGAGTCTCACATTCCGGGAGCTCATTGCAAGGCCATCGGCTTCTCTTACGAGCTTGCAGCCGACCACCTCCACTCCAAAGTCTAAATCCCTCACCTAAGCTAAGGTAAGAGATTCGTCAGCCTGTTTGAATCGAAAAGACCAAGAAAGAAAGAAAGAAATGGAAGAGAAGAAAACGATGGAGCTTACCATGCGAGACAAGACTCGCCATTGCTGGTAATCCTTCTTGCCAAACACGACCACGTCCGGCTCCACAATGTTGAGAAGCTTTGACACCACGGTAGCAACACCCCTGAAGAACAATGGACGGCTTCCACCGCAAAGAGGCTTTTCCAAGTTTTCCACCCGGATCCAAGTCTCGTGGCCGGCGCCATTCTTCTCGGGTGAGTCTCGGACATACAAGTCGCGTGGATTGAAAATGATGTCCACGCCAAGTGGCTGCTCCAAAAAGAAAAGGAAAAGAAAATGCGAGAGAGAAGCGATAATTCTTGAGACGGACCTTGAGCTTTTCGACATCGCCATCGAAATCGCGGGGATAAACATCCAGATCTTCCCCGGGAGCGAATTGCCCGGGATTCACATAAATCGACACCACCACTTTCTCCGCTCGCTGCTTCGCCTCGGACACCAGCGACAGATGACCTTCGTGTAGGAATCCCATCGTCGGCACCAGCGCGATCCGCCTCCCGCATTGGCGCTGGGACCTCGACCACTGCCGCATCGCCCCCTTTTCCCCCACGATCGCCATAAGAACCCTAATTCTTAAACCCTGAGCTCTCAAGAACCCCAATCCTTAAACCCTGGGCTCTCGTTTTAGCTCGTTGGAAGAATGCTGGAAAGAAGAACGCATGGCGCTCCAGAGTTTGTGGAGCTCCCAATTTCCATCGCCCTGGGCATTGCTCTTGTGGCTGCCTTGATCTCCTTGTGGATCTTACAGCCCCCAAGGAATGCCCCCCACGCCATCTTGTCCGGCTCGAATGGCATGCTCGCTAGCAAATCCTCGGCATCTTGGAGCTCTCCAGATCGCCCCAGGACGTCCACCAGGCAGCAGTAGTGCTCCCTCTGGGGCGAGACACCGAAATCTCTCATGAGAAGGAAGAACGCCAGCCCCAATTCGACGAGGCCAATGTGGTTGCAAGCCACCAGCGCATTCGTGAAGGTGATCTCGTCTGGATCAAACCCCTCAAGCACCATCATCCGGAAGAGGGCGAGCGCTTGGAACCCATCTCCAAACGCCGAGAATGCCTGGACGATCGAGTTCCATGCGACCACATTGTGCTTGGGCATCCGATCGAATAGCTTGATCGCGAGATCCAGACGCATGCTCGATGCAAAGATGTAGATCATGCTCGTCCACGACACGACGCTCCTCTCAGGCATCTCACAAAAGAGGGCGATCGCTCTCTCCAGCTCTAGATTCTGGGCATATGCCGCAGCCATGGCATTCCAGGTGACCAAGCTGCGGTTCTCGTCGGCCATGGCATCAAACACCAGCCTTGCGCCTTGGATATGCCCGGCATGGGAATATGCTGTCATGAGGCTCGTGCACGCCACGGCATCGTGCTCGGGCATGTTGTCGAAGAGATTCTTGGCATATTCAAGGCTTCGGCTTTGGGTATATGCTGCGATCATGGCATTTACCGCCAGGATGTTCCACCCCGGCATGGAATCAAACACATCCTTGGCCCGGTGAATATGCCCTGAGCGGGAATATGCGGCGATCATGACGCTGCAAGATGCCGTGTCTCTAAACGGCAGGGCCTCAAAGAGAAGATCCGCGGTATATGCGTCTCCAGCTTCGTTGTAGGCTTGGATGAGCGCATTGCACGAGACCATGTCGTACTCGGGCATCCCGGCAAAGACCCTGTGCGACTCTTCCACGTAGCCGTTTTCCGAATATGCCGTGAGCATTGTTGTGTGGGAAATAACATTCCGCTCGGGCATTTTCAGAAAGAGGTTGAGTGTTCGATCCAGATGCCCGGTTTCGGCATATGCTCGCATCATGGCGTTCCAGGAAACCACATTGCGAGACGGCATAGAATCAAACACATGCTTTGCCATTTCAACAAACCCTAAATCCGCATAGACTTGTAGCAAAGCTGTGTAGGCAACCACGTCGTGGCTCGGCATGGAATCAAAAACTTGCTTTGCTCCCTCAAGATAACCTCTTTGGGAATATGCCTGCATAAGAGCGGTTGACGAGATGGAATCTTTCGCGGGCATGGAATCAAAAATGTGTTTTGCGTCATCCAGCAATCCAGACCGCACGTACAGGCTGATCATAGTCGTCCACGTCACTGCATTTGTTTCTGGCATAGAGACAAAGAATAACTTTGCCTCCTCAAGGTGCCCGGTTTTGGCATATGCCTGGAGCATCGTCGTCCACGACACAACGTTTGGCTCGGGCGTTCGATCAAACATCGCCTTAGCCTCCTCAAGATTCCCATTATGGGCATATGCTGCAATGATAATGTTCCACGAGAATACATTGGGGGATTCCAGGGAATCAAACACGGAACGCGCATCGCACAGGCTCTGGCATTTGCCGTACATCTCGATAACCAAGTTGGCAATGTAGGTATCTGTAATCTCTCCATTTTGCGCCAGCCGGTCGTGGATGCGTCTTGCATGCGCGAGATCTTTGCTTCTCCCACAGGCCCGGAGGAGTGTCGCAAAGTAGTCTGTGTAGATGGAGTGATTTGGATCTTGTTGGCTGCATTGCATCTCTATGTCACGAGATTAAATTGGGAGTTTATTAGTGAGTAATGCAAGAACTCCAGCTCGAATTCGCATCTCGTCTACGAAATGCCAGAACCCCAGTTCAAGCCAGGGAAGTTCACAGAGAACTCGAGACCAGTCCTGTACGAGGTGACACATTCCTTGCAAATCTAACAGTCCAAATGTACGGCCGTGTCAGATGCCTCGAAGATGCTTGCCAGACATTCCACGGTATCGAGCATCCAAACCTCTTCTCGTGGAATATCATGGCTTCGGCATATGCCGTAAATGGGCATCTTGAAGAATCTTTACAGACCCTCTTGAGCATGCCGGAGAAGAATCTTGTGTCCTGGAATACAATTCTAGCTGCGCTACTGAAGCTCAATCAACTCGATCAAGTAAAGTCTGTCTTTGATCAAATGTTTGAATGGGACACTGTCTCATGGACTTGCCTTGTTCAGGCATTTGCCAAACGAGGGGATTTTGATGAAGCCAAGCGCGCGTTCGATTCCATGCCCGAGAAGAACCTGGTGACGTGGAATGCCATGCTGGCGGCTTACGTCTCGCGTGGGCACATCGACGCCGTGGATCTGTTGGGGATTCCAGGTTGGAATCGCCAGACCTGGACGCTTCTCCTCAATGGCCGTCTGGACGAGGGGAATCTGGGCGAATGCCAGCGTCTCTTTCAGTCGATGCCCGAGCACGACATCGTTTCATGCACGGCGATTCTCCGGGTTTTCGCCCAGCTGGGCGATCCAGGCCGAGCGAAATCGCTGTTTGATTCGATCCCCCAGACGGATCTTCTCGCGTGGACGGCTTTGCTTCAGGCATACGCGCAAAACGGGCAACCCGAGCGCGCCAGTAAGATCTTCTCGTCGATGCCCGAGTGGAGCGTCGTGTCATTCAATGCGATGCTCACAGCGCTTGGGACGAGCGGCAGTCTCGCAAAGGCGGAGGGGTTCTTTGATCGGATGCCCGAGAGAGATCACGCAACCTGGACAACAATGATCCAGACGCTCGCTCGCGCTGGGCAATTTCGATCCGCGAAAGATCTCTTCTATCGAATGCCCGAGTGGGATTCTAGATCCTGGGACGCGCTTCTCCAGGCGCTCTTCTTGGCGGGAGAGGTCAAACAGGCGAGGGTAGCATTTGACTCTTTGGGAACAAAAGATGCCTCGACGTGGAACGCGATGCTAACCGAATATGCCCAGGCCGGGCATCTGGAAGATGCCAAGCATCTGTTTGACACAATGCCAGAACACAGCACTGTGTCGTGGAATCTTCTTATCCTTGCCTGCCACCGGGGCGGCCACGTGGAAAGCGCGCGGAGCCTGTTCCAGAAGCAGCCGGACAAAGACGTGGTGACGTGGACGACGCTGGTCGCGATGAATGCCGAGCTGGGGGACGCGCAAGAGGCGGCAGCGCTCTTCCGGCAAATGCCGCAGCGGAATATCCTATCCTGGAACGCACTGCTGGCGGCATTTGCGTCGCTGGATTGGCATCTCGTGAAGATGCTATTTGATGCCATGCCTGAGGTGGACGTGGTCTCGTGGACAACGCTGGTCCACGCGTACGTGTTATCTGGGAAGATTGTTAATGCCACGCGGACGTTTGGGAGGATACCACCGGGCCAGAAGAACTTGGTGACCTGGAACACCATCGTGGCAGGGCACGCCCGGTTTGGGTCCAGCCGGGAGAGTTTTAAAATGCGGGTGGAGGGAATCGAGCCCGACCAGAGCTCTTTCGTGAGTAGCCTCATTGCGTGCAACCATTTGGGGCTGCTAGCGGCGGCTAGGGATAGCTTCGTGTCGATGCGCGGGGATTATGGCTTGGCGCCGCGGAAGGAGCACCTCTGGCTCATGATCGATGCGCTCTCCCGAGCCGGAGAATCGGAGGAGGCGCGAGAGCTCCTCCAGATCGTGGCTGGCCAAGGGTTGAGCAAGAAATTCTATACTCTTGTTTCTTGCAGGTGATATAAGTCTGACGCAGTACTTTCGTATTCCTTGCGATCTTCTCTAGATATCACAACGATTTTTTCGAGCTACATATCCTGAGGTAAAACTTATCTATTCTTTTGTAGGTAGAGTTCTAGATCTATCACAAGGATTTTCTCGAGCTACATATCCTCCATTGCGTTTGAGCGTAAAGTTTTCTATTTCTTTGTAGGTGGAAATCTAACTATGAGTAACCACTTTCATATTCTTTTGCGATCTTCACTAGATATCACAAGGAGTTTCTCGTTGAGGTCAGTTTGCGTAACCTTTTCTATATCTTTTGTAGGTGGAAACCATTGTTCTAACTATGAGCAAATGGCTGTGAGCAGGACATGAGCCAGCATCACATCAACGAAGTAAAAATGGCCAACTCTGTCAAACCAAGGTGCCAGCACAGGCTTTATGCCATAGTGTCCACCATCGCTACAGCAGAAATCGTAGTGCCACGGGAAGGTCATGTCGTAATCGTCTACAAACATCAGCTGGTTCTCCAGGCTATGCAGCTGCTTTTGGAACTCGTTGCTCAGTATGGAGTTGAAGACTTCTATCTTCTGGGGATTGGAGGGGTCACTTCTTTTGATTGCGGCGAGGGTGATCGTGTTGCGGATCACGACACGAGTGCTGCTCTTGTTTTCCAGCAGTGACCTCCAGAAAGCCGAAGCAGTCTTAACTGCTGTGGCAAAGTGATGAACCTTTTTCCATGCGTGCCCGTCGTGGATGCCCGAGTTTATGATCACTGCGTCCGGAGCTCGACCACGAAAGAATTCGTTCTTGACCAGATCACGATATGCCGGTACGTAGAGCGAGCCTAGACCCAGTAAGTTTTGGTTTGGATCTGCATGTCCGTTGAAGATCGATACTAAGCTGAAATTCTGTGCAGGATTGGATGGATTGGTGACGTTGGCCATGAAGATCCGTTCTATGTATTCCTGCTTCAGACCAAGAACAAAGTTCATGAGGTTCCGGATTGTGTCTTGGTGGTTTGAGTCGCCCCAGAAGAAGAGCTTCTTCCCGTCCAAGCACTTCCATGCATCGGCTGCGTTCCAGATGCGGAACTTACAGTGAGCTGAATACACCCATCCGTTGCTCTCCAAGCTCTCAAGGTTGCCAATGCATTGGCTGTCATCGCACTCCTCATGTTCTCCCAAGCAACGGTAACGTCCTTCCTTGTCGAGCTGACAGGACTCGTTGAATTTTGTTCTAGTCCATTTGCCTGACCATGTTGTTGCTGACACGAAGTCGTGGCTGGTGCAGGTTGCAAGATGAGGATTTCTTTTTCGGCTGGTAGTAAAACGGATTTGGACGGTTAGCATCTCTTTCGTAAGGGCCCATGGACCCGGCTGATGCTCCAGTCCACGAAAGTTGGAGTATAGAAGGATAACCTTGAAGGTGTAGTTTCCAGCGAATTCCTCATCCACTTTCAGCTCGACGAGGTAAGAGCCATCTCCGACATCTGTGATTGGTGGCCTTGATTTCCATTGAGGACCTACAGATGATAGAAAATTCGTGAGAACAAAAACTTTCAGAACAAACTTAACTGGAGAGATCCGTCTCGTAGAAGTCTCCTCCAAAGCATCTCCTGTTTCCGCTAGCAGCATATGAGACGATCCAAATCTTGTGAAGAACATCAGTGGACAAGGTAATTTCGCCTCCATTCTCTGCTCTAGGGAGCCCAAAGAAGAGAGCAGCGGTAGTACTTACGTTGTGACATTCCTGTTTGCCATACTCAGAGAAACGCTTGAAGAAGATGCTTGTAGACTCGTTGAAAGACGAACGCTTGTTTGCGTTGGGGGACGACATCGAAGGTACTCTGTCTTTGAATTCGAACAGCAAATCAGAGTAGTAACTTAATGGTGTGCATAAATGCAGTGCTAGCAACAAGAAAGCACCCAGAGAAATCAAAATAATTCCGTTCATAGTGGAGTTCATATGCCTCAAAGGCGATTCATTGAAGCAGCTACCAAAGTGACTGGCCGTTAAGCCAAACATTCTCTCCAACCTTTGTACTGTAAGTTTTGCATGCGTGCTTTGAAATTAGCTTGAGCTTGAGCATTTATATGGATTTGGTGTATCTGACGTTAAGAGAATGAAATCCTAGCTTCCTAGAGGAGCTGGCAGTCGAGATGACATTGGAGGTAACATTTTGTTGAAACTCACTTATGATCAGTCTTAACTTTTGTTTTGCCAGGGTAAGAGCAAATGGTGGTAAGAAGCACATGAATGAGCACCAAATCAACAAAGTAATAGTGGCCAATCGTGCCAAACCATGGTGACAACGAAGGCGCAACTCCATAGTGCCCCCCATCGCTGCAGCAGTGATCATAGTGCCAAGGAAAAGTCATGTCATAGTTATCCACAAACATGACCAGGTTCTCCAGAGCTCGGAACTGTCGCTGGAACTCGTCACTCAAGATCGAGTTGAAAGCTTCCATTTTTTGAGGATTGGAGGGATCAGCTCTTATACTTCCAGCCACGGCGACCGTGTTACGGAAGACCACGCGTGCTTTGTTGCTCTCCCGCAACAGTGACTTCCAGAACAGTGCAGCGGTCTTGGCCGCTGTGGCAAACTCCCGGGGATTTTCCAGGCGTGTCCATCATGGAGGCCCGAGTTAAGTATCACCGCGTCCGGCACTCCTCCTTGAAAAAACTCCTTCTTGACAAGCTCAAGGTAAGCCGGTTCATCTAGTGACCTGAGTCCTAGGAAAACTTTTCCTGGATCCGGAGCACCGTTGTAAATCTGAAAAACGCGTAGATTTTGTGCAGGGTTTGCCGGGTTTGTGACGTTGATGATGATGGAACGCTGCTCGATGATTTCATTCATGCCAAGAACAAGGTTGAGGAGGTTTCGAATGGTGTCTCTGTGGTTAGAGTCACCCCAGAAGAAGAGCTTCTTCCCGTCCAGGCACTTCCACGCCTCGGTGGTGCTCCATATCCGGAACTTACAGTGCGCAGAGTACACCCATCCGTTACTCTCCAGGCGCTCGAGAGCTCCACTGCACTGGCTCTCGTCGCACTGCTCGTCGTCTCTTAGGCAAAGGTAACGTCCATCCTCGTCGAGCGCGCAAGACTCGTCGAACTTTGTTCGGGTCCACTTGCCTAACCACGGTTTTTTCGAGGTGAAGTCGCTGCTGGTGCATAGTGGAAGAGTAGTCCTTGTGCTGCCACCAGTAGAAGAAGTGAAGTGGATTTGGAGGCGGAACACTTCCTTGTCCACAGCCCATTCGGTTGCGGAGTGATCCATCCCGTGGAAGTTGGAGTACAAGAGAATGGCCCTCAGCGTGTAGATGCCCGTGAATTCTCCGTCGACTCTGAGCTCCACGAGATAAGAGCCATCTCCAAGGTCTGTTACTGATGGCCGTGACTTCCATTGGTGACCTGCAGTTGAAAGGATCTTTCCAACAACGCTCGAAAAGAACACACTCTTTTACTTACCCGAGAGATCAATCTCGTAGAAATCTCCTCCATGGCATCTCCTGCTTCCGTCTGCTGCGTACGAGACTATCCAAAACTTGTGGGAGACTTCCGTGGACAAGGTAATCATCTCCTCCCCGTTTCCTTCCATGGGAAGGCCGAAGAAGTAAGCGGCTTCCGTGCTGATATTGTGGCATGGTCTAGTTCCATTCTCAGACACACGCTGGAGGATCACTTGCGCGTCCCGTGAACTGGCTGGAGGAGCTCTTGCCTTGGGTGAAAGAAGGCGGCGAAGTAGATCGAAGTGGAAGCTCTCTGGCGCAGTGGAATGAAGTGCCACGAGGAGTAAGAGACTCAGCAACATAGCTGCAAGGAGCCTCACGGAGTTTTTTCGAGTCATTGGAGGTAAGCTCCTACCTTTAGTTTGGTCCATACCTATATTTGCGTCTGGATATTTTGGTTGTCAAAATTCCTCGTCGCACGTCATTCCACTGCGCCAGAGAGCTTCCCTTTCACCCAAGGCAAGATGTTCGAATCTCTACCCGAAAACACTATAAACACTACGCATTTCATTACCTTAGTTTTTGTTTAGTTGCTCCAATTTTGCTTTTACCTTTAAATCGAAAAACTAGGGCAGTGGTTTAGGGTTTATGGCACGGATGAAAGGAGCCCAGCATTTCCGGCAGCGCCTCGTGCTCTCGACGCTCTCCAACACCGCACTGAGGATCGATGACATCCGCGCGGACAGTGAGGCGCCTGGATTGTGTGATTTCGAGGCGAGCTTGCTCCGTCTGGTGGAGAAGATCAGCAATGGCTGCGGGATAGAGATCAATGAGACGGGTAAGCGTCTTGCCTTTTGCTCCTTGATTTCTTATTTTCAGCAGTCCAGGCACGAAGCTGCGATACAAGCCAGGGATTTTAGCCGGTGGACGCAACCTCGTCCACGATTGTGGGACGGGTCGCGGAATTGGATACTTTCTCGAGCCTCTCATCATCTTGGGATTGTTTGGAAAGAAGCCGCTCTCGATCACACTGAGAGGTATGCTTTCCTCCATATCCAGAACGTTTTTTTGCTTTTCCTTGTTTCTTTCTTCTTCGTGTTTCGATTTCCAAGTCTCTCGGTTGTTAACTAGAATTCTTTGTGGCCTGTGACAGGCATTACAAATGACAGCAGGGATCCCTGCGTCGACACCTTTCGCACAGCAACACTGCCAATGCTCAAGCACTTTGGTGTTCCAATCGAAGGCCTAGAACTCAAGGTTGTTGCCCGCGGAGCTCCTCCCTTGGGTGGCGGTGAAGTCGTCCTCAAAGTTCCCATTGTCCCCAAGAGCCTCACGGTCAGTTTCTCCAAACTCCTCTTCTTTTCTTTCTCTCCTCGCTAAGAATCCTTCGCCAGGCTGCTACATGGGTGGACGAGGGCATGGTGAAACGTATCCGAGGAGTGAGTTACTCCACACGCGTCTCACCTCATATGGCCAATCGAATGGTTGATGCCGCTCGTGGTGTGCTAAATCGCTTGCTCCCCGACGTGTACATCTTTACCGATCACTACACTGGTTCGGAGTCCGGGAAGTAAGTTCCATGATTTTGTGCTGCAAAGTCAACTTTTTTCATCTTGCTTCCTTTGTCATGGCACAGATCTCCGGGCTATGGGATCTCACTGGTGGCAGAAACGACCACCGGCTGCATTTTAAGCTCTGAGTGCGTGGCTATGCATTCAGGAGCATCCGAGCTCCAACTTCCAGAGGACCTGGGGACGCAAGCAGCCATGTCCTTGCTACAGGAGATAAGGCTGGGAGGAGTCGTAGATTCAACTCACCAGGTATCTATCTGTGAAGCTGGAAAGGAAAGAAGTCAATCTCACAAACTTTCTTGTTTGCTATACAGGGGTTGCTGTTCATCCTCTGTGCTCTGTGCCCGGAAGATGTTTCCAAAGTCAGGGTCGGGAAGCTCTCTTCTTACGGTATCAAGATGCTGCAACACATCAAAGAATTCCTGGGAGTGCAGTTTAGTATCAAGCCTGACCCGGCGACAGGCACGGTTCTACTTACGTGTGTTGGAAGTGGCTTCCAAAATCTCTACAGGAAAGTTTCATGAGTCACTGGGGCCATAGCTCTAACAAAAGGAAACTGAATCAGTTACATGGAACTTTTTCTTACCACGCTAGAAGCCATTTTTCCAGCAGCAGTGCATCCACTCTCCTTGATGTGCACAGCGATCCGAGCCGCGGCCTCAAACTCCAGCCAGCCATCCACGACGATCATCTGCCTCTCATCGTCATCATCTGCTGATGCTTCTGAAGATAAGAAGCTGGAATACACTTTGGACACCTTCACCATGTCCGTCACTACCAGCTGGGGGCTCTCGAAGTCCGGATGGCGGTGAGCTCCCGGAGTTAATCCTCGTGGCTTGCTTCTATACTGGCTAGAGCGTCTCGCATTATAAGAGCTGTGTGGTGACTCAAGCTATGGTGAGGACCGGATCGAGGCACTTGAGCATGCAGCTGAAGATCAAGAGCATTTTCCCATGTCTCCCGCATCAAACGTTGATGTCTTTTAGTGACTCAAGAACAGCATGAGGCGTGGGCATTTTAGACACGATCGGTTGAAAAAGCATCTTAACCTGCAAAGAATTCCAATGAAACCAATTCTCTCTAGAGACACAGTCCTTAATAAGGAGACTCTTTGTATCTCCCGAACTATTTTTTGATGTATATCCTGATGAAAATGGCAGTAAGAGGTGTGAGAAAAATTCCAAGTGGAACTAACTCACAGTGAAACCCTGCCTCCCCCCCACCACAATATAGACTGTAGTCCAAAGTTTGTTACTTGAGAACAAAGAGCAAAAAATAAGTCATGATGAGAACTCCCCAAATCTCATGAACCGCACAAATCTAACTTAATTTTTCACAGGCATTTTGCAAGACATTTGCCTATCCTCACTCAAAAGTAGTCACTTTACTTTTCCATTAGATCAAAAGTGCAAAAGATCAAAGTGTTGAAACAATGAGTTTGAGTATTAGAAGTTAAAAAGTAAGGTTTATTACTAAATAATTAAGGTTTCTCTCAAACGGACATCATTTTTTGGAACGGCCAGGATAAAAGAAAATCGATGTACAATAGTATTATATTTCTATCGTCAACTGAGAAACATATGAAGGCATGAGAGCTTCTTTTGAGCATTTTTACTAATCCCAAAGCTTTACAGTGAGTGCCTTACAGAGCATCTAACCAATTAATCTCTTTCGAAGAGTGACGCTATAAAACTTATAGAAGCTTACTATTCATTTCAGCAGCTAGTAGAAGTTTTACTATTCATTTCAGCAGCTAACATTTATTAACTAGTTAGTCTCTTTCGAAGAGTGACACTATAAAACTTTGTTGTTCTAATGGACAAGATCAAGCTCACAATAGATGCAAACAAGCACACTCCAGCCATGACGAAGAAGGTTGCTCTGTAGCAATGCGATCCATGGCAAAGGAGATCACCAACGTCCGGTCCAAGCTTACTCTCGCGGTCGTATAAAACTCCTGCCACCCGGACGGACAAAACATAAGTTCCCAGCGCCTTAGCGACGTAAGTTACATTTTGGAGCGTCCCATAGAACCTGAGCCCGAAGATCTCCGCTATCATGGTGTAAAGAACCGACCACTGGCCACCGATTGATAACCCAATCAAAACCGAGCCGTAGAAGAGCGCTCCGGGAAGCCCAAGAGCGATTATCAAGCTCCCAAGCGAGAGAAGCAAGAGAACCAGGCACAGGAAGAAGGGCCTTGCGACGCCATAGCTGGCGAGGCATATATCCGAGATGAAGCCAACGCCAACGCCACCGATGAAGTCCCAGATGCTAAGGAGGGCGATGAAAGTGTTTGTTCCGGCCTGGGAGTAGCCCAGCGACGTTCCAATCTGGCCGAAATTGTTGGTCACGGTGAGCACAGCGCCAATGCCACAGGTTGACGCCACAAAGATGAGAAGCATGTCGATGCTACAGAGCGCCTGGAGGATTGTGAAATCGTCTCCTCGCTTGACGGGCGATCCTTTAAAGAAGAAGATCGCGCTGTGCAAGGCGATAGCTGGAGCAGCGGCGTTTGCTCCATGATCCGGAGGATCTACGTTGACGACGTTGTTGCCATGATCTTGATTATCTGCTTGAGCTGCGTTCTCCACTAGATCAACCTCGCGATGGAAGGTTTTGGATTCCTGTCTCAGAACCACAAGAGCCGGGATGGAGAGTATGAGCAGCATGATGGAAAAGAAGGCCTTGATGATCCTAGATTCCAGGCGCACGAAATGCTGGAGGATGATAATCGCCATGAGATATCCAGCCAGGATCAAGGTTACCGACAAGAAGACGAAGAGCGTTCTCGAGTCATTGTAGCGGCCGTCGAGTGGGACGGATCGAATGACAAACGCGAAGAGAAGGCATAAGAGCGATGGAAACCAGGCCAGCAAAAGGACGAAGGAATCATCGCTGCGGGAGAAGAAGGCCTGGTAAAGCAGAGTGAACATCGCAACGCTCAATCCCTGTGTGCTGTCGAAAAGACTAAGAACCATGCCCTGGTTCTTGGGGAAATTCTTGGCACAGGCCACGAGGACCGCGGTGGTGGTGAAGGCTGCCGACGCGCCGATCATAAAGAGATAGAAGCACAGCTCCCAGACGTGGGGGTGTGCGATTCTCTGCGTTGTAGCCAGCCATATCGTGAAGTATCCAGCAAAGTTTAGCGCGAATCCAAGAAGGAGCACGACCCAGGGCCCGGTGAGATCGTAAACGAGGCCGGAGAGAATGCCGACGCTGGTGCCAACGTCCTTGAAGAAGCTTATGGTGTTGATATTCTTTTGGTTGTAGCCGAGGGACAGCTTGAGATGCTGCGAGAAGAGGCTGAAATTGTTGAGTGATCCTCCTGAGGAGATCATGAGGAAAAAACTTGCCAATGCAACCATCCATCGACTGTTGTAGAGGTGTGTTCTCGTCCCAACCATGATCCTGGTAGCTAGATTGAAAGAGCACTTCGCAAGTCACTGTTTTCTCTTGTCTCAATGACTAGGTTTTCTACCCGGCTTTCCAGAAAACAAAGGTTTCCTGGAAACCAAAGCCTGGACAGCGCACAGGGAGGGAGCTGCGAGATATGCAAGATGCGGCTTCAATTTTCAATCTTGCATTTTTGCATCCATCAGTTTCATGCTTGACAATGGACTATCTATTTAGTTATATTTGTCAAACATGAGACTGATAGATGCAGAAAATCGATGGTACATCTTGTGCTCGCTCCTTCGCTGCTGCTCCCTGCCGACTTCGTCGAAACAGCTCTCGAGAAATATTAAAACAAATACGTGTTGTTTTAAGTAATTGACATGATGGCCACGTGGGCTGCCACCTAGAAGATCTTTCGCGAATCATCGGCCATGTGACTTGGATTTTAACGTCATGGAAAATCAACTATATAAACCAACCAATTTTATGCAATCTCATTCATCTTATAGCTATGCCTTCCTTTGTTGCAAATGCCAATGAGCACACTGGTGTCAAAGCTCTCATGGATAATGGCCTCGTTACCATTCCTGGCTGTTATATCAAACCTCCCAGCCACCGAGCTGTGAAGCATTTGATCGTTCCCGGGGTGGAGATCCCTGTGATTGACATGGCTGCATTGGAGAGTGACCGAGAGGAATTTGTTCAAACTTTGTGCATGGCTTCGAGTGAATGGGGCATCTTTCAGGTATTTTGATGTGTACCTGTTATGTATCGTATCTAAAATTGATCATTCATAATATGATGCCACATGCCACAGGTGATCAACCACGGGATTCCTGTTGAAACGATGCAAGGCATGGTCTATGGAGTGCTTGAGCTCTTTGATCTTCCGATCGAGGAGAAGATGAAGTATTATACGGAGGAGGTGTTTGTGCCAGTGCGGTACTGTACAAGTATGACACCTTCTCAAGAGACTCATATGGAGTGGCACGATCACTTTCAGCACTACTTTTCAAACAGAGAAAAGGAGCATCCATGGCCGGAAAAACCAGCGTGCTACAAGTAAATGAGCTTGATCAATTTGGATTTCATGAGATTGCTTGTTTTCTTGGATATTGCAGGAGGCTCGCTTCCAGCTATGTTTCAAGCGTGAAACATCTGAGTCAGACTCTGTTGTCGGCTTTGTCAGAAGGGCTCGGGCTGGATTCAAACTGCCTCGCGAAATCGTTTGGAGACTCAGAGATGATCTTGCGATCGAATTACTATCCACCGTGCCCAAATCCTGATCTTGCTCTTGGAATGAATGGCCATACCGACAGCGGCGGTTTGACAATCCTGTTTGAAGATCAAGTTGGTGGACTCCAGGCCAGGAAAGGTGATCTCTGGTACGACTTGAAGCCTATAAAGAATGCATTCATTGTGAACATCGCTGATCAGCTTGAAGTAAGCTATTATATTGACTTGGATTGATTTCTATCATGGTTTCCATGCCAGATTTTGAGCAATGGCAAATACAAGAGCATTGAGCACCGGGTCCTTGTCCAGCCTGATCAAACTCGTCTCTCCATCGTGGCATTTTGCAATCCATCGCGGGACGTTGTGATAGGACCCCTGCCAGAATTTATCGATGAGCAAAACCCACCGCTCTACAGGTCAACCTTATACGAAGAGCACATCACAAATGTCTACACAAAATATTTGGATGGCAAGCATTCACAAAAGCTCCAAATAAACTAAACCGCTCTGCTGTCACTAAAATAAAATAATACAAATAATGAAATAAAACAAGACTACTATCTTATAGCAAGAGCTCTGTGGAACCGTCTGAAGGCATGCAAAGATCTCCACAAAGTCACAACTGCATTCTTGCTTCCAATCTCCGCTATTGCTAGTTCAACTGGTGCTGAAACTGCAGCAGGCCAGGAGATCTTCAAACCTGACACCAGATCATGCAACATTATGCTCAACAGCAAACCTTTCCTTTTATGAAGTCGCCCTGCCTGACATAGTATCTGATGCTCAGAGTCGGTGTTTTGAAGACCTTGATTGATGTTCGATGGCATGCACCCTTGTGGGATCTAATCACCTGGAACTTGATGATAACGTGTTTGCACAGTGCTTCCAGAGTAGACAGTTCTTTGAGATTTTACCCAAGTGGAACGAGGTAGCATGATGG